ATGCATCGGAGACTAACATGAGGTTAGTATCTTGCCCAAGGATATTTGGCAAGCAGACCAGAGGAGTCTGGGATCGAACCAGGAACCTTCCAGTTAGTAGCTGACCTGCGCCTGAGGTACAGCCAAGAACACTTGTTCTCTTCCAGCTCTGTTTGTTTTTACCGATCCCAGGGGAAATATGTAGCTATTTATCTGCTAAATGCTCCACCGTGCGCACCGCTGTTTAGCACAGAAGTTTCCTGTTGGGATGCAGAAACTCTCCCGTCAGTCACAGTTTACCTGCCGACCTGTTCTCTGCTTTTTCCGTGTGGCAGACAGTCCATGTCTTTTTTTTTTTTTAACCTGGGCGTTTCCTTTAACTGCCTGATTGGTAGCCAATCGCATTCTCGGCTAACAAAAACATTCTCCTCCTTGCACATAGCTGTTACAGGTATGTCTCGTTTGATACGCTGTTCCTTTTGTATAAGCCGCCTGTTGTAGAGACTGCCTCCTCTGTGAAGACGCCGGACCGGTATGTAACTTCTGAACTCATCATTTTTGGTTTGAACATCGTTTTATAACTGGCCTAACTGGTGGTCAAACAGCTGTATAGAAATAAACGCGCTCAATATTTGATATCTTTAAAATGCATTTCTTTGCTCTTGCTTGCTTTGGTAAACATTTACAGATGATTTAGGGATGGTCAGCCCTACAAATAATTCATATACTTTATATCTGCTGGACTGTTGGAGTAGACGTTAGTCTGTTGTTACTCTGACACGGTGACAGTCCAACCAGCTTATCCTGTGGCACACCTGCGCCAGGAACCAGGATTTCGTTGGATCCGGGTAACTTCGAAGCTTTGGGCTAAAGTGTTTCACTTCTTGCCGCGGTCCATCCCACAGTATCTTATGCACATTAAAGATCAACAGGCATGAAGTCACCGCCCACTGTCCTGTCAGTTCTCCGAAAAAACCCATCACAATTCCTGGAAAAACCCTCCAGCTCTTTGTGCAGACAGAAGGAGCGTCTGAAGTTTTTCCACTAGCGTGAAAATACTTTGCGTTTTCCAGGGAGTTAATATGAAATTCTTAGAGGCAACGTTATCATCTGAGTAACAATTTTATATTTTTAAATAAGCAGCACAGCACCCATTTGTACTTTCTGGCCTACATACAGGGCTGAACTGGTAATCTGTCATTTGCCTGATATGCTGATACACTTGTTTCCCCACGATTCAACACATACTTCCACCAACAGAGCAAGAAAAAGACGGAAAGTGTAATTAGAGAGAATAAAGCATTAAGTGACTATTAGTTAATTAGGTTTAACTATTTTTTCTTTTGTTTTTCAGGGAATAAAACATTTAATTGACATCAGTCCTGTTTCTTTCTGTCTAATCGAGCCAGGTTTTCGAAGTAGAATTTGAATATTATATGACAGTTTTTTTATTCTATTTCAATTTTTTGCTTGTACTATTCAGCTTTACCACTGCTTTGTGGAACTGTACAAATATTTGCACTGTGTGCTGCTTTGAATGAGCACAGTGGGCCGCCTGGACCAAAAACGCTGATGATTTTTGTTTTTTGTCCCAGTGCAGATCTGCTAGTAATGATCCTAAATATTACTGGGGGTGTCTGCTACTGACTGTGTGTGTGTGTGTGTGTGTGTGTGTGTGTGTGTGTGTTTTATGCAGGCTTGAATTGCACTGCTATACAGCCAGTAATTTAAAAATTCTTCTTATGTAATTCTTAAGATTCTTGTTATGATAAATGCCTCAGGAGGGTTTTTTTTTTTTTAAATCATCTTCATATGGGTACTGAGAGGAAACACCCATAATGGTGTGGCACGTGGAAACCAAGTAAACTGGTTTCCAACACAAATGATTGCTTACTTACTCAAGAGAGAATGCTTGCCCTCAGGATTAATGATGGAGGTGAACATTGTCTTCAACTGGAAGATATTATGATGCAAGAAGAAACTAAAAGGAAAAAAGCAAGGCTCTCGATGAAGTATCAGACACCGGCTAAGGAGATGAGGAAGAGGGCATCCGCTTCCAATAATCACTCTATCAAATGTGAGCTCTCAAGAGTTAAATTAATGAGCCAATACTACACATCAAATGCGAACAGGATTATAGTTGCAACAACGTGATCTGCTTCACTGAAATGTGGCTAAACTGTAATCAGACTTTGGAACTGTGTGCATTTAATCTGAGCTGTCAGAGATGAAATATAAACAGGAAAGTCAGAAACGAGCAGACCTGTACAAAAAATCTTCAGACAGTGGATTTAGACAGCTTGCAGTCATGGTGGTGTATGCCTCAGGTCCCTACAGTAAGTTCATATATTGGACACATACAATTCTGTGCAGGCACAATCAACTGATCACCCAGGATTTTTTTTTTTTGAGACTTCAACATACTGTTTATACTTTCTGATCTTACAACAATATGTTGACTGTCCAACTCGTTCTACAAGGATTCTTGGCTGATATTATGGCAACATTTAAAACGGTTATAATGTGGTATGCAACCCACATTTGTTAGTCTGGAGCCTCTCGAGCGTGTGTTCTTTCATCATTGTTATTTTGTTTATGTAAAGGACATGTAGCTACATGATACAGCATACTAAATAATAAGATACAATAGTCCTATTGATGTTTTTCATATGCATGTTTTTGTAAGAATGTGGGATAATAACTACCAGTATTTTATTATGACTTAATTTGTGATTTGGTGAAGTTAAGACAATGATCCACTATTTTAGAATATAAAGTAATTCAATTCTAATCAATTCCAATTCCATTCTTAGGCTGCTGGCCCAGATAAGAGGAAAGTAAACACCTGATGCATAGTTGTGTAGTTTTTGTAAGCGAGTAGTAGGCTACATAAGAACAGCGGCAGTTCCAGAGGTCATGTCTGAACAAGAAAAAGGAATTGTCAAGCTAAAACCTGTCAAATGAATCCAGGACCCTGTACACAGTTCAACAAAGCCAGGGTATTTTTTCCTTTATCTGCATCACCCTAACATGCAGGTAACATCTGACCAATCACACTGACTGATGTACCAGCAGTTACTGGATGAGTAAGGATGGAAGAGTAAACTATAATTATAGAAATAATACAAAGATGTTACACGCATAATACAGAATGAATGCAACACAGCTGCTCCAGTTAAATTAATGAGGTTTCAACAGTTACCCACAGCACTGAATTTAAACGCTTTGATCTATAAGACCGTAAAAGAGCTACTATATCATACTATATTTAAAAAACTGTCGCTTGGAGTTCACAGAAAACAAAATAAAGTGGCCGCTAACAATTTCCTACTAATCCTCACGGAAAACTACTGGAGAACTTCAAATGCTGTCTGCACAAACAGCTCTGAGGGATCTTCCAGGAATAGTGATGTTTTTTTTTTTTTCAAAGAACTAACAGGAGAGTGGGCGGTGATTTCACGCCTGTTGATCTCTAGTGTGCACACCTGCCTAACATCAGTGCTGTGCTGATTGGTCCAACAAATTGGATTCAACAGTGCGCGGGACTCCAGCAGCTGTGCTATAAAACAGGTGGATCTGGTTGGGATTAAGTTACCTAAAACACTTCTATAATGGATGTAAGAAGCCTTTTCAAAAAAAAGAACTGAGAAGGACGCAGGTGAGGTGAGAGAAGGCGGAGAAGGATCTGCCTCCTGTTGCTGCTGCAGAGAGATGCACAGAGAC